GGGCAGTATACAGCTGGAATGGTAGGTATCATGGGGGGTGGGGGTGTTATCCTTTCCCCTGGGGCTGGGGCAGTATACAGCTGGAATGATATGTTTTCTGGAAACAATTAACAGTAGGCGAGGTTATCTCAAATGAAGCAAACAAATGACTAGTTTGTCTGATTTACCAACACAACTTACCAAACACACCCTTCCTCCATTAGTAATGGATACCTCAAAATGTACAGAAATTATACTTTGGTGATGTAAAGGTATAAATCCATTGGCAGTCTACCTGTCCTCTCAGTTAACTCACATAGAAGTTAAATGTACTTTCACTCCACTCACGAAGGAGTCCATTGTGATCTTACTGACAAGTCCTCTGTTCTTTTATTTTGCTTACTGACAGTTCCACTCTACTTTCAGTTAACTCATCGAGAAGTTCAATAATCTTTCAGTTATCTCACCAAGAAGTTCGATATTCTTTCAGTTAACTCACCAAGAGGTTCAATATTCTTTCAGTTAACTCACCGAGAAGCTGTGAATGAGTTGTTCAGTAACTTCACATGGTCCACGGGGAAAGCAGAGAACTTAGATCTGGACCAACTAGAGGTCCTCAGTCACTGGAATCACCCGGACACCAGCGTCTACGTCACACTGACTTTGTTTATTATTATACAGGTGAGATTTACTGGCTGTATGAGAAGACCAGATATCAACCCCAGTCTAATTGTATGAAGGTTTTAAGAGTTCCAAATTGGAAAATATATCAGTTTTAACTTAACTTTAAAATATGCCGTGTGTCAATGTAAGGTTTATAATAAATATAAATATGGATATTTTAGATATATATCATTTTAAATCTTTGTGCACTGATTTTTATGGTGTGGTATGATCTTTCAGGTTCAGTAAGGTACAGTGTAATAATGGAGTGTTGTACAGAGTGATCTCACACAAACAGTTTACTTATAATAATAATGGATTACATTTGTTTCTAGTTTATGTGATCTTTCAGGTTCAGTAAGGTACAGTGTAATAATGGAGTGTTGTATAGAGTGATCTCACACAAACAGTTAACTTATAATAATAATGGATTACATTTGTTTCTAGTTTATGTGATCTTTCAGGTTCAGTAAGGTACAGTGTAATAATGGAGTGTTGTACAGAGTGATCTCACACAAACAGTTTACTTGTGATAATAATGGATTACATTTGTTTCAAGTTTGTGACAGCTGCTTTGGCTGGTTCTCTCCCCATTCCTGCTGGAGTGTTCATTCCCGTCTTCACTATAGGTAAGTTGTATCATCATTTTACCACTTACTGCTGCCTTGTCAACTATTCCCCAGGGCTGCGGACTGTGCAATTACATATTTAAGGAAAGCTTCTTTAATAACATTTCATTTTTGTTGCATTTCCTTGATTTGATAACATGTTCAGCAGAAGGTATGAGCATTTTGAGTTCAGTTACATTGATAATTCTTCATTCATTTGAATAATTTTCATCATCTTTGGATAATCTACAATTAATTATATAAGGGTGGAAACTGAATTTAAAAATGATGCAAATGAAAGAGAATTTGAATAATTATGCTGTTCCATGAAAAGTTTAACTTGGAAAGCACTGACCTTGACCTACAGTGACCTTGACCCACAGTGACCAGTCCACTCTGGTCTCACAGTGTCACACCTGAGGATCGTGACAGCTGTTGTTGTGGCTGAATGCCGATTTTCCTTCACTATGCTGCCATCTTCAGGTTAAAATTAGCTAAGAGAATGTTCTTAATTATTCCCAGGTGCTGCCTTTGGTCGTCTTGTAGGAGAGTGTTTGGCTACGTGGTTCCCCAGTGGAGTGAGGATGGGAGAGCAGGTGTCTCCTATAGTACCTGGAGGATATGCTGTAGTAGGTGAGTGTATGACTATATGATATCCCAGTGAAGTCAGGATGGGAGAGCAGGTGTCTCCTATAGTACCTGGAGAATATGCTGTAGTAGGTAAGTGTATGACTATATGGTATCCCAGTGAAGTCCGGATGGGAGAGCAGGTGTCCCCTATAGTACCTGGAGGATATGCTGTAGTAGGTAAGTGTATGACTACATGATATCCCAGTGAAGTCAGGATGGGAGAGCAGGTGTCTCCTATAGTACCTGGAGGATATGCTGTAGTAGGTGAGTGTATGACTATATGATATCCCAGTGAAGTCAGGATGGGAGAGCAGGTGTC